TTTTTCGCGGGGTAATGCGAAGACAGGCGATAGGCAGTTAATAGTCAGTGTGGTGTATCCCACCAGTGTATCCCACCTCTCTCACCGCAGCCACTGCCATTTTTCACCACGCGCGCTCTCTTTCTCCCTCTCACTTTCTTTCCCACGCGCGTGCGCGCTCTCCCACTCTCTCTCTCTCTCTCTCTCTCTCTCTCGTTCTTTCTCTCTCTCTCTCTCACTCTCGCTCTCTCTCTCTTTCTCACTCTCTCTCTCTTGCTCTCGCTCTCACATTCTCTCTCTCTCTCTATGTCTCTCTCTTTGTGTATATCAATTAGACATGCACTGATGCCAACAAATATATCAACGCATTGATTGAAATTCGTGAAGTAATGATGAAGGGCAGAAATATATCTGTACAGTTAACCAAATTTTCACTGCTAGTATAAAATAATTTTTTAGTAATTACATTTATTTGTCATTACTCATATATATATATATATATATGTATTTCAGATGAGGAATCAGTGATTAAGATGTGGACCACAGCACCATGCAGTAGCAGCGCTAGTGCAGATGCCCTGTCAGCTGGCATGAGCAATAATCAAGACAGCCAACACACAGCTTCTGAGAACGACGTTCAATCTGTATCTACCTCCTGTAATCACACTGTAACCTCTCAGGAAAACACTACTCAATTCATGCCACCAGCTGACAACCAAGCTTGTGCATCACAAGCAACTCAAGGTGTTTCTAACAGTCATTTGCCAGATCCTTGTGTGGCGATGAGAGCCAGTTGTGAACGCTTCTTTAATCCCCTGTCTTCGTTATCGGTGGCAGCACCCGTCGCACCGTCGTCACGGCAAGATGATAAACAATCGCGTTCAGCTGCAGTATCGACACAAGAAACGGCCCTGTCCTCGAATCTTCACAGTGTTCATCATGAGATGCTGTTGGACAGTGGTGCGCATGAAGTAACTCAGCAATCACGGGTACATGAGGTTGTATCACTCGATGATCGTCAGCCTGGGATCGAGCAATCTAACGATGGGCATCACGCTAAGCTGGCTCGTGTGGATTGTGCCAGTCTACGGGAAACAGCAACAGGCGATCATGGGGCAGCACTGATTAACTCAACAAAGACGCCTGCCTGCCTTGGTAAGGGCACGGTTGTAAACGTTGTGTGAATTTCTAGGAAAATATGGTAACAGTTACGAGCCCTCCTTCGCTAGAAATGTTGTCCACCACGATCATGTGTTATTTTGAGTCTAGCATCTCTCTTGGCGGTGTTGGTAATATTGTTGTGAGGACAACATTACATTAAAAGGGCATATATTACGCTGTAAAAAGTCAGCACAACTTGCATAATATAAGAAATTATTCACAACCCCATTAAACCAAGACTTGATTTAGTTCATGTTTTTTACTGTCAGAAAATGGGACTATACGAAAACAGACTGAACCGTCAGAATTTGTCAAGAGGAGGAGGATGGCAACAAAAACAGAAAAGGATTCAGTATTGATGAAATGCAAAGGATGGTAAGCCATTCAAAGAGTATTCTACTTTTATTTAAATGGGAATCATTGTTACTACATAACTTGAAAAAATGTAGAGCAAATCCACATATTATGAAGAAATTGATGTGTGTGTGAAGAAAAGACGGGCATGTATTTGTAGTAATAAGTGAAAGCATGTGTGAAGTCCTGTACAGCTGTATAAAATGTAAATTTGTCATTTAGTATTGTTCGTTTATTAGTTCTTTCAGATTCAGTATAGAAATTCCTTCTTTTTTAAAAATAAAATACAGGTCTATCATGGACGAACCAAGTGGTGGCAGTGTTCTGCTAGAATGCAATAGTTGTGGAGGTGTGGTGGTAATTTACTTCTTGTATTATGATAATTAAGAGGTTTACAGTATTGATGCTAGAAAGAGTAGTGTCCCGTTTGACCTAAGTGTATGTGAACGTGCCTAATTCTAGGTAAAATGTTACTTTTCCATGCAACTAAACGTAAACGGAACAATACTTGCTCTGATGAAACCTCATGTAAAGGTTCTGTTGACAAACCCATTTAGTATTCTTTTAAGATATTTTTTTCATTTCTTAGATGACTTTATTTCAAGTCAGTTTTCTAATATCTCCATTTGTGTTGGCCTGTTCCCCTTAGTTATTGTGTCATCTCACGCTCTTTTTCTTCTATCCCTCTCTGCATCCATCTATCTATCTATCTACCTACCTTTCTATCCATCTAGCTATCTATCCATCTAGCTATCTATCTATCTATCTATCTATCTATCTTTTTATCTATCTATCACCCTGTGTCACATTTAATATGTTACTATATTATTATCTTGCTATGCTTGCTGTAAATGCAAAGTGATGAATAGCTACTATGATAAATACCTGCTATTTTTTACAGATTTCATTCAGGCACGTCTTTTCGAGAAGCACATTGCAGAGTGTGTTGTGGATATCACGTCCATCGTCAACCACTCGTCACGCGAAATCTCCGCAAACCAACAGGTGGCCAAAATGTCCGAGATCTCGGGGTGGGGTGCTCGTTCTGGTGGTGATGCAGTGCGGTGCGAGGGACAACAAGTGGTGACAATAGACGAGACAGTGCCACCTCCCACGGCTCTCCTCTCTCCCTCATCCCAGAGCGTGTGTGTCGAGCGACAAGGCGTGGGAGGAGCAAAGTCGCAGCTCGGACATGAGCCAGAGCAAGGCAGCGTCGTGCGAGCATCCCTCGTGTGTCCGCTCTGTGGCGGCTTCGTGGAATCTCTCGATTGCCTCGACAAGCACGCTGGCCAGTGTACAAACAGACCAGCACAACACATGTGGGAAGCTGCTACCAAGCTGCTGGATCAAAGTGATTAGCTGCAATGATAGTTCCATTTGTTGCAGTAATTGCAAGGCAAGTGCAAGTTATGATCAGTAGGGGTAGCTACACTGGTGCCTGTGTTTGTGTGAGACTTATTTGATCACCAAAGCTATATATAAGGATGGCTGTGTTACTATGGCAGAGCTGTAGTCAGTGTGGTTACCTATACTGATGGCTGTGGTGGTATAGCAGTGTTATGGTTAGTATGATTAGTTTTTAGTAGCTGCATTGGTATAGAAGGGCCGTGATGAGTAAAAAATGTAATTGTACAAATGTTCTTTAATATCAAATATTGTTTAGTATTTGCGTATGCTTTTTTGTTCACGTTATTAAATGTAAAAATATAGTAAAACTGTTAACATGCTATCATGTACTGTACTACACAATACTATTCTATATTATATATATATATGCATGGTGTGTGCGTGTGTGTGTGCGTGCGTACGTGCGTGCGTGTGTAGAAGTAGTTGTTTGCAATCGCACTGTTTCCATACTATCAAGCTATCCACACACCCAGACGCTCTTATAGAAACAAATGGATCGGCAAATGGCAATGTGTAGTTGCTGATGTACATGGTTGTCATGCATCAACCACCTAGATGCTCATGTGTAAAGTCCCTAACGGCAACTGCAGAAAAAACATTGCAGTGTTTAGTGTTATTAAACGAAAAAGTCATTTTTACATCATGTATGAACTGTTTTCTTTGGTATAAAAAAATCGTGATAGTGAGATGACGGATTAGTCTGTTTCTTTATTGCCGGCCACTTGCACGTGGCGTGTACAAAGATACTTTGAAAGGATCGGAAAAAAAAATGTTAGAGGTATATATATATATATATCAAGAGTGTATTAGATATAGTATAAGTATACTTAATACGCTCTTGTATATATAATTATCAGGAGTGTATCAATATTGATATACTCATTGATATAACATTGATATATCATATTGATACGCTCCTGTAATTATGTATGTCGGAATTTAGCAATTTAACATTAATGACAATTTATTACTAGCATGTGGCAGTCATGGTTATTTTATGCATTGGCTGTTGTCTTTTCAATAAAACATACGGGGTGCAAGGCAAGGTTGCCTGAGTTTACTAACAGCAGGGGGTTAATAATGACAAATTTGTCATTATTAACCCCTGCTAACAGTAAGCTGCTTGCAAGCAGAAGAGACGTTCCCCCCCCCCATCCCATCCCACATACACACACACAAGCGGGCCCACAAGCACGCGCAAACAGACACGTACACTGAAGCGCGTGCACGCAGAAAGAGGGCCACTGCTATCTGTGAGCCGTGACGTCACGCAGCATTACACCTGTAGTGCACATTCGCTGAGAGTGCAGGTAATAATTACAGGTATTGATCCAAGCATCTCCGCGCGCTACAGACACTGCGCACATGAGGCAATGTTACGTTGCTACGCTGCACGGCAGCAGGCAGCGAGAGAACAGCTCCCGCTGTGGTTAGTCCGTCTGCAGAGGCCACACTGATGAGCGGCTGCACCGGCTGGCAACCACACCGTGACCCGCTGATGCTCGACCGCTGAGACTGGACCAGCAACGAGGGGCGTAGGCGTGTGCTCCTTCCTCACGCACGCACGCATGCACGCCCGCCACCACACCATGTCCGCGAGTACCTGACTGAAGGCGGCGGGATTCGGGATGCGAGAGGAAGCTGGAGTCCCTGTGCCAGCATGATGCAGCGATGACCTCCGTTGTGGCGCACAGCCCGCTACCAGTCTCTTGGTATCGGCTGAAGGCTGTAATCGTGACTTTCAACGTACATGCTGTTGGCGACAATGTGTCCCCTTCGAAATTCATCAACTGGATTTGGAGCGGCTAAGTGTGTGTCTGCCTAGAGAGAGAGAGAGAGAGAGAGAGAGAGAGAGAGAGAGAGAGAGAGAGAGAGAGAGAGAGAGAGAGAG